TCTATCCCACCATGGCCATCGCCCACGAAGGACTTGCCTCACTAGGGTAGATCTTCACGAAGTAGGCGATCTCCTTGCCCTTACAAACTCCTTGGTTCAACTCCACAATCTTGATGGAGGCTCCCAAGTGACACCTAACCAATCTAGGAGACACCACTCTCCAAAAGGTAATAGATGGTGTGTTGATGATGAACTCCTTGCTCTTATGCTTCAAATGATAGTCTCCCCAACACTCAACTCTATCACACAGATTTGGCTATGGTGGAAAGATGATTTGAGTGGAAAGCAACTTGGGGAAGGCTAGAGATCAAGATTCTTGTGGTTGGATTGGAATATCTTGGTCTCAACACATGAGCAGGTGGTTCTCTCTCAGAAAATGAATCCTAGAAGTGTAGGCACGTTCTGATGGCTCTCCTCACGAATGAAGAATGGGTGGAGGGGTATATATAGCCTCCACACAAAATCCAGCCGTTACACATAGATTCCCAAACTCGGTGGGACTGAATCATAAAACTCGGTCAGACCAATTCAGGTCAAAATGTGAACATTAGAGTTTTCGGTGGGACCGATGTGCAGGGGTAGGGTAAAACCTCAACTCGGTTTGACCGGTTACTCAAACTCGGTGAGACCAATTTTAGTAATAAGCAAACATAGGATTGGTCAAGCAAACTCGGTGGGACCGATTGAACAAACTCGGTTAGACCGAAAATGTTACAATAGATCACAGAGAATTTGCAAGCCCATCTCGGTCAGACCAAGATCCCATCGGTGAGACCGAAGTGACTAGGGTTTGGCAGTGGCTAGATTAGATGAAACTTGGTGGCGCCGGATAGAAAAAAATAGGTGGGGCCGAGTTTGACATTTAGGTTTAGGACATATGTGGATGTGAGAAAGTGGTTGAGGGTTTTGGAGCATATCACCAAGCACTTTGAGCAAGCAAGCCATTAAGCAACACCTCATCCCCTTTTAATAGTATTAGCTTTCCTATGGACTCAATGTGATCTTAGATCACTAAAATGAAAATTTAGAGTCTTGAGCTTGTTGCCAATATGTGTCCTTAGCATTTTGAAGGGGTTCCACATCCTCTTGTCCATGTCCATGCCACTCCAATGTTGAACTCTTCTGAAATATACTAGGTAGAAATATTAGCCCAACAAGAGATATGTTGTCATAAATTACCAAAATCACCGAGGGAGCACTTGTGCTTTCAGGAAGAAAAGTGGTCGCCGGCCGTCATCGCTGTTTCTGATGAATCATTGCGTTCTGCACCATGCCATCATGACACTAAGAGAGGATGAGGGGAAGAACCCATTCACACAAAGAAGTGCTCAAGACATTGCCCATAGAGGATGAATTTCACCTACTTTCTTGAGTACTTTGCCACACGCTTACGCAGCGCACGGTGAATCTCTATCACATACATTTGGAGAGCATCTATCCTTGGACCTAACTATCTCGTGGACATCATCTAGTGACGAGAAGTCACCATTGGTAACTTGAAGGAAGAGGAAGGAAGAAGGAAGAAGAGGGACAGAGGCTTCATGTTAGGAGTTAAGTTCGAGAGTTCGGTTAGGTTCATGTTTTCTTAACTACTCAAATTTGAGGAGTTAAGGTTTGCACAAGTGTTTGAGGACTAAAATTTTGAGGGTGCTCATGGGCCTCGTTGACAGCTCGGAAAGAGCAGCCAATTCGTCATCAAAGTGATCTCTCTTGGGATGGTGCCCAGGTGCTCCCTAAAGCTATTGCGGATGGGAAGAAGATACAGGTGCTCCCTAGCGAGAAATGGGTTGGATATACGTCTTTATGGAAGTGGTCGGCATTTGACGACCTTCCTCGACGCCTCTTTGAGGCGTTGTCTTCCGCTACGTCCTTGCCCTTGGAGAAGCCGCACTCAATAGCATTGTCGAGGACCAACTTGTCCGCAGAGCATTGTAATGAAGAACATATGCATAAGCATGTTACAAATGAATCAGAACTACAATGGTGATAATCTTCATTGCACGTTGTCATGCGGAAGGGGAGGGCTAGTACAAGGATCAAAACTACAATGTGTAGAACCAACCATCGTACTATCGACCATCCTAATACATGAGTTGCACAACAATGAAGATCGCATTGACCTACCACCTGATTAATTGATCTAACCCCAAATCGAACTGTTGTACCCCCAAATCTAACCCAGAGCAAAGCCCTATCAAACCCTATATCAAAGCTTTATCAAAGCCTAAATTCAGGCCTAACAAAGCATAAATTGACCAGGGAAGGGCTTATTGCCGTTGATGAAGTGACGATGAAGCGATCGCAGATGGTCGCCATTTAGATCTTTCCACCGCCGATGGTCGCTGAGCTGTCAATGAGAGAGAGAGAGAGAGAGAGAGAGAGTAGGTAGGGGAGAGCGAGCGGCAAGAGAGGGGTGAGGGGATTTATAGCGTGCCTTCGGGAAACAATGCACAGTCTTCCACTCGTTTCCGCACATACAACCATGTGTCCTCGGGAAACAATGCACAGTCTTTCACTCGTGTACCACTGAATTTTCTGAAATATTTTGACCGAAACGTAATATTTCAATGTCTACTGAAATTAATGAAATTCAGTGAATTACAGTGAAATCTCACTAAAAGTGAAAACCATAGTCCTTGCTCAAATCTAGCCCGCTAAAAACGGTCGATTCAGTCGCTTCTATATAACCCGACTCTGCGCTGCTTTGAGGAGCGTGCCATGCAGGCCCAGTCGATCGTGCATGTATCCGATCGAATGGACTAAATTCAGTCTGGCTACCACGTGGGTGTTATGCGAGCAGCCAACCGGTCCTTGAGCTCTCTATATAGAGTTCTCCGAAATTCGAGGCAAATTCCACCGGCCACATTCCCGATCTCCCCATGTTGTTTCCCTCGGATGCCTCTGCAGCCGGACGCAGGCGCTGCCGCGTGCATCTGATTCATGTTTAATGACTGTTACTGCAGCCACGGTCGGCGCGTGCACTTCGATCTGAGCCCCAATCGTAGATCCATCATCCATGTTCAATGGCATGGCATGCGATGCGAGGCGCGGGCCTCGTCGTCGTACTGTACCATGTACGTGTTCGCCTGTTTGGTGCCCAGACGTACCCCAGGCGTTAATTCTCTGGAGAATGGGTACATGCACGGGGAGAAGTTAAATAGGCTTTGACGTTATGGGCACGCATTCGACGTGTTACGTCCAGACCAAGGAATGTCCATCCAATCAGCTACGTAGCACACAGAGGCTAAGATTGAAAGTACATACGTGAATCTGCACGGGGAGTAGTTTAACTGTCGGATTCTCTGCCACACTTCGATCCATATACCTCGATAACTGAAGCCTACCATAGTAGCAATGATAGCGTGCTCAAATCGGTCAAGCGTACGAGCACAGCATTTCCAGATGAACCGATCCAATGGATCCCAGAATTCGCACAAATTCACGCGTCAAACCGGATGCACGCACCGCAAGACAAATGCAGAAACATTACGATCGAGTTTCCGATCCCATGAGTAGATGGCCGATTCTATTCCAGGAATCGAAAGCCCGAATTCTGAGCCTCGGATGCCACCCCGACACCGAAATGAGATGTCCTCTCTCGGATGCTCTGTTGCACGCTCCTGCAGGCTGCAGCTCATGTTAATGAGTAATGACTGCCGCCTGCGTAACGTTAGCCACGGTCGGCGCTCTGAATCCCGATCGCATCTGGTCATCGATCCATACATCGACCCATGCATCTGGTAGCAGCAGCAGCAGGCGTATTACATGAGCTTAACAATATCCCATCTTTAATTCTCTCAAGGTCAACACAGTGTTAGTTTAACTGTCAACTTCCCTGCAACGCTTGGATCCACATGTAATGGATTCAGGACGGCTTGCCTCGATAACTGAAGCCCGCCACAGCGTATTCAAATCGGTGAAGCGTACACGCGCATCATTTCAGGATGAACAGATCCAATGGATCCCAGCAGATGGATCGGAATTGGCACAAATTCACGCGTCAAAACCAGATGCACGCACGCAAGCACCGAGAAGGGCAAGACAAACGCAGGAGCATTCTGATCGTCAATTTGCACTCATTTCAAGTAATCCATGGAGATAAGCTTAGACCAATCAACGGGAATCACTGGGTGTGTTACATGTCACGCACTGACGCACGTAAAAAAATGGATGCACGCTCGTTTCACAAAAAAAAAGGATGCACGACGCGACGCGACCCTCTGGCCTCTGGCCGCCCGCTTATAAAAGGAGCGCCGTGCGGTCTCGTTCCCGGCGAACAGCGACAGAGTGAGGCGTTCAGCAAATAGACTCCACATACAGATCGAGATGGTGCACAGGCTTACACACGAAGGTGAAGAGGCTGCCGGCACCATGGAGGGGAGGAAGAGGGAGTCGACGGCGACAAGGAGGAGGAGAAGGAGGCAAGGTGGCGGAGACGCCATCGCGGCGATCAAGAGGAGGATGCTGCGGTGCAGCGAGGCCGGAGAACGGGTGAGGTTCAAGCGGAGCTACTTGGCAGGCGCAGGCGGCGGCGAGCAGGGCGACGGCGCCTCCGCCGTCTTCTTCTACCTGGCCTGCATCGCCTGTGCGCCGGCTTAGTTCATCAGCTCCTCTTTCCTGTGTTCTTCACAGGTTGTAATTGCCTGATTGGAATCATATATAGTCCGCGTTAGCTCACTACTCCGTTGTCAGTGGTAGGCTCTCAGGAATCAAGATGAGATGCTCTTGTCGTAAATATTTGAGTTATTTCTATGTTTTCTCTCTCAATTTTTACTCCTCTGTAGTAAAATTTTAAAATAGGGCAAAGAAGGATTAAGCTTACATATAGTAAGATTCAACAGGTAAACCGCACTACAACTCTGATGCCATAATATCAAGTCGTCTAGCAAAATTGTACAGAGCCAAGTGACTTCAATGCTCTGGTGTTATCACCTCCGACATCTTAAACCACCGAGAAAATCTGACCCTCTCTCTGGAATCTTGCAAACTGCCGGTTATAATTAAGGATTTGCAGCATTGATGCGACGCCTCTTTCGCCTCTCTCTGGAATCAAGGCCTCTGTTGTAACCTACTTTCTTCATAGCTCTGCCCTCCAGGCCAATGTCCACTTTTGGAGGGTTCCTAAAGCAGAATGATGCAGCTACATCCTGCCAAATTATAGTGAATTGGGCATTAGTCTTTTTTTTCCGTCTTTTTGTCAAGTCCCAAACTCCAATTTGGGGGTGATGAAAATAATATCAGCAAGTACTTCCGAGAGGTGCTCACCGAAAAATAAGATAAAGACAAGTGTGTTTCGACATGCTAGGTAGGACAATTGAAATTGTAAAACGGCCAAATGAAAAAAATACAGATCCCGCAAAAAAGTTCGACAAGCATTTTACCTTCAAACAGAGACTATGAACCTTAAAGATGGCTTTCATTGTGTGTGAGTTGTATGCTAGAATGTAGGATCTGTAGGCTTGTTGAGCTGACTGGTGTAGGAAGTAGTTCTCGCCAACGATTTTCTCCTGCTCAACAAATTGAGTTGTAACTTGTTATTAACATATTAGATTAGAAAAAAGTGGATTGGAACACTCAAGAGTGGCAAAAGATACACTTACAAAATGTGCTTGCAGATTTGGCACATTCTTGTTGTTAAACTGGTGTTCGGTGAGATGAATGTTGGCTGCCTGCAGGCACACTAAATATGTGATTTCGCTAACTTTAGAGGGAAAGAAATGCCATATTATCTCGGTGCAGAATTGATTACCCTCAAGGAGATAAGAAACTCTAATTCTTGGGGCAGTAAGAATAACAATACAGTTGCTTTTCCTTTATCACCAGGTGCAGTACGCCCAACATGATGAATGTAATCCTGAAAGTCAAATTCGATTAGCTTAGCACAGTTCAAATATGAGAGGAATTCCTGCAAGTCAAATTCAGATCATCGACGTACGTACCTCTGGTTCATCTGCTGGAGGATCGTATTGCACAATATAATCCTAAAACAAGGCCATATATATATCATCATTAGATCAGTGCCCGGAAAAATATTTCGGTCGCACTCAATTAAAGATACAGTGGCAGTCAAAACCTCACCACGTGAGGAAGATCAAGTCCACGTGCTGCCACATTAGTGCATAACAAGACACCCTTTTGTGCCGTGCAGAAGGCAGACAATGCTGCAGTTCGGTTGAGCTGCTCTTGTTTCTCGTGGATATCGGCACACTCTATCTGGAGAAAATTTAGAAGCTGTGCATGGAACTCGACTGAACTACGTGATGAAAACAGCACCATGACCTTCTTGCTAGACTGTTTCCTCTTCAGGAAAGCGTGTAAAACCAGGAACCTCTTCTCGCTAGGAACGACACTGTATCCCAGCTGCAAGCCTTCAGCATTAGCCTGTCTCTGTCAAAGCATCGGCGTTATTTTTGCAAAGAATTTTTGTCAATATTTGAGAAAAAGAGTTGGACAGCTATATGCGATACGGTACCCTGGTCTCCTGCTCCTCGTCCCCCGCCTGCGAGGCCGGCTCCTGCATCTCCTCGCCGGTTTCCACGGTGGCAGCGGTATCGTAGACTGTTTGCTCCGACTCCGTTGATCGCTCTGCGGAGCCCGTGGATGCGGCTGCCGGCGACATGGCGGAGCTCCGTTTTAGGGTTTTGGTGTCGCGCGGGTGGGGCTTCGCCGTTATGACAGTCGACGACACGGGGAACTTTTATATATACAGGGAGATAAGAGCATCTACGGCCAGCGTCCAAACCAGTCTTCCAGGCGGACAGCTTTTTTTTTTAGCAACTTATACGGGCTCCTTTAACGGACCTCAAACGTCCGAATTGATCGGCACCTTTCTTCATATTCAGCCCAATTTTGGGGTAGATATGAGACACCCAGACGCGCCCGTCACATGGACCCGGCAACCCTACCCCATCATAATTTGCACCAAATCCATCAAACCCTTCCTACTCCTCCCTCGTTCCTTTTCCGCGTCCGAGCCCTCGCCGTTCGCTCTTGCTCCCCATCCTCCCCGCCGGTCCCGATCCACCACCCTAGATGTTGTCTAGCCCATCCCCGACCGTCGCGACAGAGGTTGCGTCCGCCTCGTCCGTCGGCGTCCCATCCTCGGCTCCGTCGTGCAAGCCGGAGAAGAAGCTGGAAATTGAGAGGGAGAAGATCGAGTTGGAGAAGTAAGAGGCGGCAATCAAATGGGAGCTCAAGAAAACCAAGACATTTGGAGAGATTGAGCTTGAGAAGGAGAGGTTGCAACAACCAGGGGACACAAAAGATGCGAAGATCATGTTGGCGGATGAAAAATTCTTGGATGAGCATGCAAATAAGTGGCTTGCGGAGAAGAAAAATGAGATCAATAACCGTAGGAAGTACGAGGCGGCGAGGGACAATGAACAACTTGATGTTAATATGAAGTACCAATTAGGCATATTGGTTCTTCTTTACGCGTGGGCGATCTAGATCATCTTCTTTTGTGAAGCTCCGGAGGATGCAACCAGATAGATTATCTTGAATTGTTTTCATTATATCTAATAATTCTGATGCGCAAAAGGCTTTGTTGGCCTTATTATTGAATGGTAATATCATCAAAATTATGACTATCCCTCGTTAAAAGTACATTTAGCAATTTGAGGGGACGGGCGAAAACTCTCTGGCATCAACAAGCGGATGATTGGTTTGTTCTGCAACTACGAAATCACACCCTCAATTTGAAGGAACAAGTGTGAAGACGTGAGATATATTTACAAACATGAAATCTGTTCACATATTACGGAGCTCGATCCAAAGGGAAGACGGGATTTATGGGAACCAGTTATAGTGAGATTTGATTAAAACATAAGATGAAAACATGAGATGGACTTTCATGGGACACCGTGTTTACTTGTGAGGAGGTGAGAAAAGGACAGAGGTACAAATACCTTGAGATGATCATGACTAAGATTGATAATTGCAACCCTTCGTGTGAATTATCATGTGCATGCACGACAACCCTTTATTTGTGCAAAAACTATCCTTGATTCTAGCCCTTGTTCATCAGATTTGGTCAAACCGTGGGTTTATTGATATTCGATTAATTAGAGGTTTCTATTTTGTCATGAAATTTTCCCTGAAATTTTTCTATCCCACTGGTCCTCACTAAATTCGTATATGTTGTATTGATATATGCAGAAATTTGGATATCCTCTCCTGTTCTTGGTTTGAATATATGTGAAACACATGCCATTTTATTGATAAATATTGTTAAAATTTGTTTAATTCACAATTGCTCCTTAATTGTTGTTGTCCAGCTGATTGAGAATTTGAGATTGTCCATATTCTTGCTTGGAAGAGTTGTGCTCCAAGAATGTAGTTCAGAGAGAGCTTACCACTAGCATTACCTTAAAAAGATCTAGCTTTCAGATTGCATTCTCACTGATAGGCATTTCATAGCCATAAAATCATTGGAATTATTATGCTCATTACTCCAAGTTGTGTTCCTAGGTAATGCACCGCAATTTTAAGAAGGCGTAATAGATTGGAATGCTATGGGTCTTTTTTTCTATCTGTTACTCATAATAGACTTTTTAGATTTGCATCTGTATTGTTGACATGTGGTCATCTCCTCTCAGTAGGTATAAATTATAGGATTTCTAAGGATCAATTGCCCTAGCCCCCGCGTCGCTCCTCCCGCGGGCGACTTGGGCGGCGCCGCCACCTCCTGCCGCTCGCCCTCCCCCTCCTTCCCTTCCCCGCTGCCGTCGCCGCCGCCGCCGGCCAGAGCCGCTGGGGCAAAGCCCCCCGCGGTGGCTGGCGGCAGGGGCCTTCTCCCCTCCTCGCATCCATGGCCTGCGGGGGCGGCCAGGCAGGGTGGAGGCGCCAGGGCGCGCGGATCCAGGCGGGGCGGCGGCGACGATCTTGACGGAGGCGGGCCCGATGGCGCGGCTGTAGTGTTGGAAATATGCCCTAGAGGCAATAATAAATTGGTTATTATTATATTTTCTTGTTCATGATAATCATTTATTATCCATGCTATAATTGTATTGATAGGAAACTCAGATACATGTGTGGATATATAGACAACACCATGTCCCTAGTAAGCCTCTAGTTGACTAGCTCGTTGATCAATAGATGGTTACGGTTTCCTGACCATGGACATTGGATGTCGTTGATAACGGGATCACATCATTAGGAGAATGATGTGATGGACAAGACCCAATCCTAAGCTTAGCACAGAGATCGTGTAGTTCGTATGCTAAAGTTTTTCTGATGTCAAGTATCTTTTCCTTAGACCATGAGATTGTGCAACTCCCGGATACCGTAGGAATGCTTTGGGTGTACCAAACGTCACAACGTAACTCGGTGGCTATAAAGGTGCACTACAGGTATCTCCGAAAGTGTCTGTTGGGTTGGCACGAATCGAGACTGGGATTTGTCACTCCGTGTGACGGAGAGGTATCTCTGGGCCCACTCGGTAGGACATCATCATAATGTGCACAATGTGATCAAAGAGTTGATCGCGGGATGATGTGTTACGGAACGAGTAAAGAGACTTGCCGGTAACGAGATTGAACAAGGTATCGGCATACCGACGATCGAATCTCGGGCAAGTATAATACCGCTAGACAAAGGGAATTGTATACGGGATCGATTGAGTCCTTGACATCGTGGTTCATCCGATGAGATCATCGTGGAACATGTGGGAGCCAACATGGGTATCCAGATCCCGTTGTTGGTTATTGACCGGAGAACGTCTCGGTCATGTCTACGTGTCTCCCGAACCCGTAGGGTCTACACACTTAAGGTTCGATGACGCTAGGGTTATAAAGGAAGTTTGTATGTGGTTACCGAATGTTGTTCGGAGTCCCGGATGAGATCCCGGACGTCATGAGGAGTTCCGGAATGGTCCGGAGGTAAAGATTTATATATGGGAAGTCCTGTTTTGGTCACCGGAAAAGTTTCGGGTTTTATCGGTAACGTACCGGGACCACCGGGAGGGTCCCGGGGGTCCACCAAGTGGGGCCACCGGCCCCGGAGGGCTGCATGGGCCAAGTGTGGGAGGGGACCAGCCCCAGGTAGGCTGGTGCGCCCCCCCACAAGGGCCCAAGGCGCCTAGGGTTTGGGGAGGGGGTGCTTCCACCTAACTTGGGGGGCAAGTTTCCCCCCTCTCCCCCCTTGGCCGCCACCCTTAGATGGGATTTGGGGCAGCCGCACCCCTTGGGGTGGAAATCCCAGAGGGGGCGCACCCCCTCCCTCTCCCCTATATATACTTGAGGGTTTTGGGGCTGCCAACACATGAGTTTGACCTCTCCCTGGCGCAGCCCTACCTCTCTTCCTTCTCCTCTCCCGCGGTGCTTGGCGAAGCCCTGCAGGATTGCCACGCTCCTCCATCACCACCACGCCGTTGTGCTGCTGCTGGACGGAGTCTTCCTCAACCTCTCCCTCTCTCCTTGCTGGATCAAGGCGTGGGAGACGTCACCGGGCTGTACGTGTGCTGAACGCGGAGGTGCCGTCCGTTCGGCACTAGGATCTCCGGTGATTTGGATCACGACGAGTACGACTCCTTCAACCCCGTTCTCTTGAACGCTTCCGCTTAGCGATCTACAAGGGTATGTAGATGCACTCTCCTTCCCCTCGTTGCTAGTTTCTCCATAGATAGATCTTGGTGACACGTAAGAAAATTTTGAATTTCTGCTACGTTCCCCAACAGTGGCATCATGAGCTAGGTCTATTGCGTAGATTCTTTGCACGAGTAGAACACAAAGTAGTTGTGGGCGTTGATGTTGTTCAATATGCTTACCGTTACTAGTCCAATCTTGTTTCGACGGTATTGTGGGATGAAGCGGCCCGGACCGACCTTACACATACTCTTACGTGAGACAGGTTCCACCGACTAACATGCACTTGGTGCATAAGGTGGCTAGCGGGTGCCAGTCTCTGCCACTTTAGTCGGAACGGATTCGATGAAAAGGGTCCTTATGAAGGGTAAATAGCAATTGGCATATCACGTTGTGGTTTTGCGTAGGTAAGATACGTTCTTGCTAGAAACCCATAACAGCCACGTAAAACATGCAAACAACAATTAGAGGACGTCTAACTTGTTTTTGCAGGGTATGCTATGTGATGTGATATGGCCAAGAAGAATGTGATGAATGATATGTGATGTATGAGATTGATCATGTTCTTGTAATAGGAATCACGACTTGCATGTCGATGAGTATGACAACCGGCAGGAGCCATAGGAGTTGTCTTTATTTATTGTATAACCTGCGTGTCATTGAACAACGCCATGTAATTACTTTACTTTATTGCTAACCGGTAGCCATAGTAGTAGAAGTAATAAGTTGGCGAGACAACTTCATGGAGACACGATGATGGAGATCATGGTGTCATGCCGGTGACGATGATGATCATGGAGCCCCGAAGATGGAGATCAATGGAGCTATATGATATTGGCCATATCATGTCACTACTATATAATTGCATGTGATGTTTATTATGTTTATGCATCTTGTTTACTTAAAACGACGGTAGTAAATAAGATGATCCCTTACAACAATTTCAAGAAGTGTTCTCCCCTAACTGTGCACCGTTGCTAAAGTTCGTCGCTTCTAAGCACCACGTGATGATCGGGTGTGATGGATTCTTACGTTC